GGTTTATCCAACTGTATCGCATTTCTCTTTGACCCGGCTATCCACAATGCTTTACAAAAAATGAAGAAGGATCTTGTTGATAATTATGGCTACGAGAAGCCATCAGATTCCAGAATTGCTGCCAACACCGGCAACCCATCTTTATCACCAGGCAACATATCCATCACAAATTCTCATATTGGAAGTTTGCATTTCATTCGTGGCTCAACGGTTTCTCCCGCTTTACCAACACATTATCCCCCTTCACCAACATTTCACCCACCTCACGCTTCTTATTTATCGTCTACTCCTAATAATTTTCTTCCGCATCGAATAGCCGTGAAACGTCAAAACAAGAAAAAAACCAACAGAATCTTACAATGGCTTGTTCGTACGTTCTTAGATACAAAAGAGGAGCCTGTAAGGTTCTCGATTTTGCAACCGCGAATTGGAAAACATAGTATACCAACGCCGAATAATTCCGTCTGCACTTTACCTAGGCAAAGTCTAAGCGCCGAAAATTATAATAATTATGTTCCAAAAGATTTCAATACGACTCTAACTGACAAAATTGACGAACAGGCTCAGCAACCTCTTGATCAGACAGAATGCTCTGTAAAAACCACTGCCACGATTTCATGTGAATATTATTCTGATTCCAACACACCAAAAACTATCAGTAAAGGTTCCAATTCTGACCTCCCAACCTGCATATACATTAGTCCTCCTCCTGGTGATGTCATAGATATAATAGAAATAGATTCACGAAGACATAATCATTCTAATTCTATAACTTCCATCGCATCAAGAGATTCGGTCGATAATGATTTGTCGGTATATTAGATAAAGATATCGTATATTTTAATAAATAATAAGTATATAATAGAGCCAAGTGTATGTTTTACACTTACACAATCTGTTGATGCTTATTAACGTGACGACCATGTTCTTTAAGGACAGTAATTAGCAACTCTAAAGTATGCTGCCGTATCTTTTTATTTATTACTTCTGTATTTATCAAATTTATCATTATTATTTTTTAGAAATGTAAATAATATATACAGTGGTGGTAAAAAAAAAAGGGCACTTTTCTTTTATTTGTAAAAAATTATATTATGATAATTTTTTTTTATTAAATCAACATTAATATTAATTAAAAACAAATTTATTAGTATTTTAAAATAATAATAATAATTTTTTAATAATAATAAAAATCATATATTATTTTATTTATTTATTTATTTTTTTTTGATATTATTTTTTATCAAGTTCAAATATTAAAAAAACAAATTTTTTTTCAAAAGATCCAAAAACCAAAAACCAAAAAAAAATTTATAATTTCAAATTTCAAGTACTGTCAAAAATATGGATAATCCCGTGCATCATAATTAGCTAATCAAACAAATCTTTTGAGCGTAATGCTGGTGTAAGCAAGGCGTGATTTTTCCGAACACAAAGATTTGACATTAGATAGCCTTGAGTTGCAAGTCTGTGTCATTAAAGGACCTTCCCACGACCATTACCATGTTTAGAAATCTCGATGGTACATGTAAAGCCGATATGAATTCCATTAAATTGCCTAATTAGGGGTCCGAGCTTCCTTGATCTCATATGATGAACATAAGCGTTACTTGCCTATAATATTCCAGTTACATAACGATTATACTGTCTGTTTTTAGCGATCCCTCCAAAGAGCACCAGTGCTCCTTTGATAAATTCTTTTACTCCGAATTCAGGCACAATAAGGTGTAAAAATTGATAAACACGGTCATATATTCGTTCTTCATATGTAAATAAATCCAAATTGGGATTCTCAAGAATTAATATGACCTTTTACGCCCTAGCGTTGAAACTTTCAATCTACAGGATTGTCGGCAAGTGGATCTCGACGATAATCCGTTTGAGAATTGAAAAATATAAAGAAAGAAGTATATAGTAGCGACATAGTTGTTTAAAGTAAATTAATTATAATCTAAAAGGAGACATATTATTGTAAAGAAAGAAGGAAATTTTCCTCTTTTACCATGGAATATTTTAATTATTATCCGAGCGATAAATTTTCGGTGATATTTGCCATAAATACGACATTTACATTACTATATATGTTAAACTACAGTATATTGCTAATATACGTTTGTAAAATACAGTATATGGATAAATGATCGTAGAGCAGGTACTATTGTATTTCCATAAAATGTAAAATTGTGGGGTACGCAACCCTGACCACAAAGAGACATTTCACCGACAGAGTCCAAGACAAAAAAAAAAATAATGGCGTTACCCAATTAAAGAAGATCGCTCATAGGAAGGCAAAGGGCGATAGCAATCATGGTGTGCTAATTTCTCCACCGACTCATTGTTATATAAGAAATGAATTTGGGATCTATCATGAATATCATGTAAATCCTGGATATTACTCATCTGCTTTGAATCTCAACAATGAGATGCTAAGTCTTATGATGAGTAGAAGAAATATTCCCACATCGTTTACCCATGCGCCTAACGTCTTTAGTGCGCAATAACGGTTTTTTTGGCGCGTCCCCAATGATAATCAATGATGCAAGGATCATAATATTTGAACTACTATTATAGACTAATTTCCGAGGCTCACTTTTTCGATGAAGATCCTTCTCATTTTAATGAGCCCAAAAACATTTGAACCCATATGATATTCTTGTGAGCATCCCAAAATACATCATAACAGGTCGTTTTTTTTCCCTCGAATCCATATGCCTCGTCTTCTTTTATATGCCAAGCGTCTTGCTCTTTGGTTTTTCAACATAAAAATTTTCTATATCTTGATCACATCCGAGCCCTCCGGCATTATTAAAAAAAACCAAGCAAAGATATCAAAGAACTTTACGTATTCATCAATTTCAAGTAACAAACCAATTCGATTTTATGAATAGTCATGGGCAAAGTTCAATCGAAATATAATAGAAATCGTTCCCAATCCTGCACGACTCCAACCAGGGATCACGAATATTGTGGCAAAAGAAAGTACTCGATATCTTATGCCCTTCCCTTGAACAATAACGAAGTGGACAGATTGACGTCGCAACATTATATCTTCAACAATATATGGGGAGGAGACTTTTCTTCGCCCGTTCATCGTCTGCTAGAATGCGGTGGGGCAAAAGTCTTGGACGTAGGGTATGTTAAGGATGTAATCCAAACTTTCTTTTGAACTCTCATTAATTCTTTGTTGCTTGTTTAAAGATGCGGTCCAGGAGTTTTTGTGCTCGAGATGGCAAACCGGTAAGTTCAATTGAGAACGAATCGAGGTCCTTCGAAACTCGGATGTAAACTAACGCGATTGCTGACGTGCATCGCAGATATCCAATGACTTCATTCACCGGCGTAGATATTGCGGACGCTTACCCACATTTTATCAAACCCGAAAACACGTCATTTAAAAGAGCGAACATTACCGGTGGATTACCTTTTGCTGACAACTCTTTTGATTTTGTATATATGCGCTTCATGATGTTTGCCCTTGTAATAAAAGAGTGGCCATTTATAATTAATGAGGTAAGTAATTTTGCGACTTTATTCTATAGATCTTTTATTCAATAATTAATTTTGAATACTTTTACGTCTTAGCTCGCTCGTGTATGTAAACCCGGAGGTTGGATCGAAGTGATGGAAAGGTAATTTTGATCATGATTTATTGGTTATCATTCAAAGTTGTTCATTTCAACTTTACTCATAGACGCTCTCGCTTCATAGGGATATTTACTGGTACAATGAAGGAGAGAGAACAAATAAGTGGAGAACGAAGGGTAAGTAGGGCAAAACAAATGTAATTCAGATATTCTTTGCTCAAGTCTGATCACTCGTTCAATACATAAAAATAGTTGTTGAAGGATTAAGAAATGAGAAAGGAATCGAACTAAGCATATGTTCACACATCCCTGGATTCTTCAAAGCAAACGAACAACTAACGAATTTTTCGAGTGACGAAAGAATACAACCACTGGGATCTTGGGCTGGACCAATAGGCAAGTTCTCATTGCAGAATGAATTTTTTCTCATTTCCTTAAAATGTGCTTACCTATGATCAATACTTATAATAATAGGTAAGGCCTACGCACAAACCATTATGTGGGGAGCGAAGAATCTATCCCAAGCTATATCAACCATAAGCTTTGAAGAAGGAGAATATGAAAAGTTAGTGGAAATAGCTATGGAAGAACTTGACAAGAACAAAGCATTTGACAAAAGTCATCGATTTTGGGCCATGAAAAAGCCCCTGTAAATTTACTTGTTATTATATGTATTATAGTATATATACAATAAAAAACATGAATGCCACCCAGTAAAATTTTATAATACGTCTTTATTGCTTCAATGGGAAATAATGTAATGGAATGGATTATCCCCCACGAAGTTTGACGTAAATCTATATAAAGGCAAGAAACTTATACGCGTGGTCGCCATTTTAAATTACTGTATCGTGCCACCATTAATTTAACAATTGTTTATGTAAGAAGGAATTTTATTGCAATTGAATAAGAAATATACATCAAGAAATATACATCAACAAATAAAATAAGATATGATGACCACCACGATCTAAATGAACTATAAAGCCCCCGTACCATCGAAATCCATTACTCCATGATTCTTTTCAGTGCCATGCGGGTCAAATAATTTCTTGATACTCCAAAATTCAAACCAACCTTGATACCTCAACCAAAAGATCGTGATGGCCAATACGACTACCAAGAAATAGGTTGGTGAAATCTGATGTAATCTAGACTTTTCGTACATTCCCTTCAATTTTTTTGTCGAAAGTTTAGCAACTTCTGACGTGTTTTTAGGACCTTTCTTTTCATACTTTTCATGGTGGTGTGTATTTTGATTCACTTCGGGTTTTCCTTTTTCTCGCTGCATTTGATTCAATTCGGGTTTTCCTTTATCTCGATGCATTTGATTCAATTCGGATTTTCCCTTATCTCGCAGCATTTCGTGTTCGAAGGCGTCACCGGGTTCCATTATTTTTCTAATTTTGATTAAAAATTTCAAGATTACTTCAAAGTTTCTTGATCCTAACGTTAAATAACATAGATTACTCACACTTTCTAAAGAATAAAAAATTCGCAAATTCAAGTGTGTGTGTTCAATTATACAAGTAAAGATTCGTGAGAGACAAGAGTTCACTTTTGTCGATGTTTATATATCATTGATGAAAGACTCCCATGCTGTCATAATTATGTTGCCTGGTAGTAAGTAGTTTGGTTGCATAAAAATTATGTGAAAATGACGTGGTTTTTTTCGTAAAATCTTTTTTATTGCAAAATCATTTTTGCCAAAATGAGTCACCAAATTTACTTTTATTTTTATGCTTTTTTTGTGTATGTCTATTCCCATTTTATTATTATTACTATTATTACTATTATTTATATTATTCATATTATATATTTCTTCTTATTATTGTTATGATATGGCATTAGGAATTGTGACCTCGTAATTTCAAGTGAATTACCTCATCGCCTTATTAAACTTGATTCGGGATAAATATATAGTAGCTGTTCCCAATCCCCGAGTGATCAAATCAAATTTATCCTGTTTAAGGTCCAGACAAATGGGTTGACCTTATAAAAAGCTCATATAGAATTTCTCACGGGCTTTAGGAGTTTTTTGTTGTTCTGATTACAACGCCTTCCTCCCAAGCAGGGTTATAGCATCTCCACGAATTTATGAAATTAAAACTCAAGAATTGTTAAATTAACAATGAATGACATCATTTTTTTCATTTCCAACGCACTTCTCTGCGTCAGAAAGGCCGGTGAGAATCAATCTATTTAATAAAAAAACCCTTTCGCCAAAGAAATTCGCCAATAGGCAATGGCGAGGGAGTTTCAACTGGTCAGGGAAACTGACGACATTTTTCTGCATAGATGGTCATATTTATATAACGTCATTTGGTGACGCATAGCTTACGCTGCGTACACAAATCCAATTTTATTTATAGGTAACCACTCACAAATCATTTTACTTTACAATCTAAAAAAAAGGTCAAGTGGATGAAACCAATTGCTATATGAATACAATAAATAAAATAAAAATTTACAGTGTTCTTTTTCGCATCTTGCTTAGTGCATTATTGAATAATTCACGTCGTATGAAAGAATAACTCTTATCTGAAGAAAATTGTTCAAAGTCCGAATCACTAATTACAATTGTTGGAGTAGATGGCGAAGCACATCTGCTTTTAGGTGTGGTGGGAGTGTTGGGTGAGATTAAATAAGAGGATGGAGATAGAAGTGTGTTCGTCCCTTCTATACCCGTGGAAGTATTAGGTGTATTCGGGGGTGCCAGAGGTGAGGTTGACGGTGTCATTGCCTTATCTAAACTGACACCAGTGGGTGTGATGTCTCGGCACCTACCATATTCCATGGAGTCGGGTGTTCTCGGAGTGTTTGGTGGTGGTCTGGAATAGGGGAATTGCTTGAATCCCGCATTTGGTGTTTGAGGAGAACGAGTTAAATTTTGTTGAATTTTCGATGTGCACGAAGTGGGCGGTGGAGCGCTGATGCAAAAGTATGCCGAACCCATCGGTGTTGGTGGTTCGGCGTAATCCAATGGTGCAGTCAAAGGTGTGCCGGGAACAGATTGAGTCACGTGTTTGTGATTATTTATCCATTCCAGCTCATTATCTGACGAACTGGCATCGTCAAATTCTTCCCATTCGTCTTTCTTCACATTACTCATCTGTTTACCTCTAAAGAAAGAACCTATGATCTCCTTTGCGGCATCTTCACTAACAGCCTCCGCCAGCCTCTTGACAAATCTTCCCGGAACTAACCCTTCAACAAACTGTTCATCACTCAAGATACCAATCCTCCTTTCTTCCGCTGATAAGCCAAAATAATAATATACCAAGATTTCGTCCACGGCAGTACGGTACGGTTCATAAAGGTCCAGTAGCGTAGAGAAATTGAGCAATGAAAAGAAATCCTGATGAGATCGAATCTTCGATGCCAGCGAAGAAGTCAAAGTATCTCTCACGTCAGCCGCAGTACATAACCAATCCAAAAATGCATCAACGAGAGCTAAACCGTTAACCGGATTCACTGGGGCGACTATACAAAGCATTGGTAACCCATCGGCCTCTTCGGCCAACTTTTGCTTTGAAGTTTCCTCATAATTTAATGACGAGTATGATGCTAGACGGGAGTATTCTGTGGAAAGCCCATAGAAAAGAGTCGACTTTTGCATGAGCAGGTTTGATTGCTTTACACTAATCCTGTATGTACGCTTTAAATTTGGATCGCTCAACGTTGTGATTTGAAGAGAAAAAAGTGATGTGGATGGAAGAATAGCGGATGGTGATAAAATCTGTGCTGCATTGGAGACAGCTTCTAGAGGAAGAGCCTTGATGCTAAGGGATGCGGTCTTGACTGGCATCTTGATTTTGTGTTTGTTATTAAAAAATATAAGAAAATAAATGAAAGGTAATGTAAAGAGTGTCAAAAGATCTACTTTTGCGTGCAGGATGAAAGGTAAGAATTTTCTCGCGGAGAATGCCTTCGGATTCTCAAAATTATGGCTCTTGGTCGTATTTATTAAATTTGGTCAGTAAGCACCCATGGTCTGACAACAATATAGTAGTAGGTCATTTAAGGTTCAGGGTCACATTATCTAAAACTTTCGGTTATAAAATGGTTTTGGTTTCCTTGTATCAGAATAAAATGCAGTTATTATAGTCAATGTGCCAATTACCTCAAGGATCCTTGTCTTTCTTGGTCGGTGCCTATTTAGTTAGCATTGTTTCAAAAATATATTGAATTAGGGAGAACGTGCTTTCACGTATCAACATTCGAGAATCATTTTTATTATTCTCAAATTCCTCCGTATAGGTTTGATGTACGAACACCAATCAGGAAATCCCTCAGTGGGATATAAATTTTCGATATTTGCATCCAAAACCCAAATGTCCATTTTAGGACATGAAAATGAATGACCCAGGTAAAGTTAATGTTATTTTTGTAACGAGGATAAAAATAATAATAATAGCTGTATTTTATAGTTGGAACATTAGTTCAATTAGGATACAGTATTTCTCTATTCGGACATTTGGAGTAAAAATATCATGTTGCTCAAGATACAAACTACGGAAATTTTTCAATTAACTAATAATTTAAATAATTAATAATATATACAAAACAAATTACACTAATAAAACAGATCAGTTTTCAGAAAATTCCGCATCCTTAAAATTTATCATTAATGGAGCACAGACCCTATGCAATTTAGAATTTAAGAGACTCGAAGCATCGTACACCTAAACCGAAAGTTTGTGGCACATTTAATGAATTCATAATTTTGCTGAAATCCGAACGTATAATCCTTCAAATTCGAAATGAAAATAAAAAACTATGCACGTTGCACAACAAAAAAACCGTAATCTGATGATAAATATACGCATATTTTAACATATATGATAATTATTTTATCATTCGACTTGTTAGCCAAATGCAATCCCGCCGATCTGATCCTTCTCCCTGCATCAGTGTCGGCTTTTCGAGGCCAAATTAGGTTGACCAATAGTGTCACGCAATACTGAATGTGGCTTATTTTGACTTTACGATTTCTATTGGTTAATTTGATGATTGTTACGCTTTATAGAATAGGATAAATTATGATTTTAAGATTTTATTAGTCAAAATCAGTTTATTTGTTTTTATTTGTTTTTTTTAAATAGAAAAACATTATTTCTTTATTTATTTATATACTGTATTATATGATATACATTTCAGAAAGAAACAATTCTTATATGTTTTTACAATAAGTTAAATGTTAGCTTGCCTATAGTAATTATTTAACTTATATTAAAAAAGAAATTTTAAATTAATAACTATTTGTTTTATTATTATATATATTGTAATTTCATTATTAAAAAATTTGATAATAATCAATAAATAAATTTATATTTTATATTTTATCAATTAATAAAAATTTAAAAATAATATACAATCAAAAAATTATATCTTATAATTTATATAAGTCTTTTTTTAAATAAATTTTGTTTAAAAATTAATAAAAATATTATTTGTGATTTGTTTTTTAAAATTTAAATAAAAAAAAATTTTTTTATAAATGATATTTAACAGTTGACTATATATATTTTATAAAAAAATATATTTAACAAAGAATCTTCGGATTTAAAGTCAATAACAGCAAGCCAATATAAAGGTAAAATCCAATATCATTTGGCATTGACTAGAATAGTGTATAAATAGTAATTACCTA